AATTGGTGAACACACTAGTATAAGATAGAGCATTAATTAAGTGCTCAGTATCTTGATATAAGAATATACCTTCATTTAAAATTTATTATTAAATTTAATGATTTACAGTTTTATGGTCATACAATGCCTCATACGGGGGGTCATGTCGATACTTATGTGGTAGCTGTTATTGTAGGCGAACTCTATCAAAGGTAGGTGATTGTTCCAATGGCCTCTGAAATCTAGAACATAAGCTCAAAGCATATACTCTAGTGTGCGAATTGTTTGTTCTAATTTTCAATTGATTTGAGGGTGGAATGCGGTGTTGATGGACAGTTTCACTCTCATTTTTTGCTGAAAACTAGACTAAAACTGAGAGGTGAACCTAGGATCTCTGTCGGATACCACTATCACCAGAACTACATATAGCTTGACTATCTTTTGGATATAAATTCTTGCTAGCTTGTCTAAGAGGTCGGTTATTAGCAATAGAAGAACAGTGTTTGACTTGTGTTTGGAGTTATGGATATGGATTGAACTTTATGGGTTGATCAACCCGATCTGATTACTCCTGACAGAACCTTGAGGAAAAGAAGGAGTTTGAAAGATGGGATCGGTCAAACCATATGAGTATGTTGGTTATAGAATAGATCATTCCAGAGGTTTTTTGATGCACTATGTCCGATGAGATCACAATAACTAGAGATTTTTTTCATTCTCTATAATAACGTTTCACTAGAAGTGATAAGGCCGAGGCATGTACACTTTCTGTCGACTCTTTTTTTTATGAGGTATAAGGGAAATGAAAACATTAGAGAGCACATAATGGAGATATCACATAAGCATGCAAAGGTCAAAACATTTAGAGTTGACTTGTCAGAAGAAGTACTTGTGTACTTTGTTTTTATTTCTCTTCCATCATAGTTTAATCGTTTTAAGATGACATACAACTATAAGAAATAATCCTGGAATCTGAATGAACTCATTTCACATTGTGTTTAAGAGGAGAAAAAACTCAAGTCTGAGAGGACAGAGAGTGTTTATTTAGCAGTGATCTCAAAGAATAAGAAGAACAAGAAAAAGAAAACAGGTTAATGTTTTGCAGTTCTAGTACAATAGAAGAAGCAAGAAAAGGTTTAGACGGAAAATGTTTGTGTCTTCTGTAAAGCTTCAGGACACCAGAAGAAGTAATGCGCTAACTATCATGCGTGGCGTGCAAAGAAAGACATACTTCTTAATTTTATTTGTTCTGAGGTTAATTTAACTTCTATAACTACACACACTTGGTAGATAGATTCTAGTGCTACAACTCACATCAATGTGTCTATACAGGGTTGCCTCCATTGCCGCAAGCCAAATGATAGTGCTAGATTCATTTATGTGGGTGATGGCAAACTAGTTGAGGTAGAAGCAATTGACAAATTTAGGTTGTTGTTAAGGACTAGATTTTATTTGGATTTAGAACAGACTTTTATTGTACCATTATTTAGACGGAATGTCATTTCAATGTCTTTATTAGACAAATTTGGTTATTCATATTCGTTTGAAAATGGAAAATTTAGTCTTTTTTTAATTCAAATCTGGTTGGTTCTACTTCTTTATCAGTGCATGATAATCTTTATTTGCTTGATACAATTACTTTTTATAATGAATCCTTGTATGTTGGTACAAGAGGTATAAAGAGAAAATTAACTAATGAGGATTCTGCTTCTTTATGGCACAAGAGATTAGGTCACATCTCCCAAAGGAGAATTAAGAGACTCGTGTTGGACGAAATTATAGATCCCCTTGATTTTTCAAATTTTGATAGATGTTTTCATTGTATCAAGGGAAAATAGATAAACATTAAAAGATTAGGTGCTAACAGAGCTACGGACGTATTAGAACTCATTCATATAGATATTTGTAGACTATTTTCTACTGCTTCTTGGAATGGTCAACAATATTTCATAACGTTCATAGATGATTATTCAAGATATAGCTATCTATATCTCATTCATGAGAAGTCCTAGTCCCTGGATGTGTTCAAAATTTTTAAAGCAGAAGTTGAGAATCAACTCAACAAAAGGATTAAGGTTGTTAGATCTGACCGTGGTGGTGAATACTACGGTAGATCTAATGGATAAGGTAAACAATGTCCAGAGCCGTTTATTTGATTTCTAGAGGAATGCAGTATTATCCCATAATACACCATGCCAGGTCCTCCTAGTATGGATGATGTTGCTGAAAGGCGAAACAAAACACTTAAGAATATGGTAAGGAGTATGATTAGTCATTCTACCTTACCTGAATCACTCTAGGGATAAGCATTAAAGATCGTAACATATTTACTCAACAGAATTCTAACTAAAGATATTACAAAGTTCCCTTATGAGCTTTGGATGGGTAAGAAGCCTAGTTTGAGATATTTATACATTTGGGGATGTTCAACTGAGGCTAGGCCTTATAGGCCACATGAAAAAAAACTGGACTCTAAGACTATTAGTTGTTATTTTGTTGGTTATTCTGAGCAATCCAAGGGTTACAAGTTTTATGATCCCACTACTAAAATAATTTTTGAGACAAAAAATGCTTAATTATTTGAGGATGTTGAGTTTGCGGGGGGAGAAAATGTTCGCGACCTTGTTTTTGAAGATAAATGGGTCAATATTCCTATTCTCTCATGTGCTCTTGACAATGATCAAGATTAGGTTTTTATACATAACATTGTTCAAGAAGTAACTCTAAATCAAAATAATGTCATAGTATCTTTCGTTCCTGTTCAGGAATCTTTTTCTGAAGCACAAACTTCACATCCTCAAGAACTTATGCCATTAAGGAGATCCACAAGAGAGAGGAAAAGTGCAATACCATATGTTATATTGTATATCTCCAAGAATATGAGTTTGACATTGACACGATGGAAGATGATCCTATCAACTTGTGTCAAGTCATAGAAAGTTCTAACTCTCATAGGTAGATTAATGCCATGAATGAAGAAATAAAGTCCATGAAGGACAATGACATTTAGGATCTTGTTCCATTGCCTAAGGATGCAAAACTTATTAGTTGCAAATAGATATTTAAGACCAAGAGGGATTCGAAAGGTAATGTGGAAAGTACAAGACTCGTCTCATCGTTAAGGTCTTTACACCGAAAAAAAGCATCGATTATAAAGAGATTTTCGCTCCGGTTTCGTTAAAAGACTCTTTCATGGCTATAATGACTTTAGTGGCACATTTTGATCTTGAGTTACATCAGATGGATGTTAAGACATCATTTCTCAATGGTGATGAGACAATTTATATCATGCAATCAAAAAACTTTTTATCCGAAGACACACAATAAATGGTTTGAAAACTAAAGGAATCCATCTATGGACTTAAACAGGCTTCCCGTCAATGATATCACAAATTTCATCAAGTCGTTATCTCGTTTAGTTTTGAGATAAATTTAGTAGAATATTTTGTATACCATAAGTTTAGTGAGAGTAAATATATTTTTTTAATTTTATATGTCGATGACATACTGTTTACCAGCAGTAATATAGGTTTATTGCACGAAACCAAGAGATTTCTAACAACGAAATTTGAGATGAAAGATCTTGGGGACCCCTCTTTTGTATTAGGGAGACTTATGTATGCACATATTTATACATGTCCAGATATTGCGTACATTATTGGGATATTAGATAGATATTTAAGCAATCTAGGTATAGATAATTAGAAAGAAGCCAAACGTGTCATGCAGTATTTATAAAGAACAAAAGATTATATGCTCACATACAAGATGTCAGATCAGTTGGAGATAATTGGTTATTCTGATTTTGATTTCACTAGATGTCAAGACAGCAGAAAATCTACATCAGACTATATTTACTTATTTGTTAGGGGAGCTATTTCCTGAAAGAGTGTTAAATAAACACTTGTACTCTCTTCTATTATGGCAGTAGAGTTTGTGGTTTGTTATGAGACATCCAATCGTGAAATATGGCTGCGAAATTTTGTCACTGGGTTGCATATTGTTGATGGTATAGAAAGACCATTAAAGTTATTTTATGATAATAAATATGCAGTTATGTATTCCAACAATAACATGAGTTCGACAAAGTCAAAACATATAGATATTATGTTCCTCATTGTTAAAGAAAGAGTTCAGAGTAAGCAGATATCAATAGAGCACATTAGAACAAACTCTATGATTGCGGATCCGCTCATTAAGGGATTACCACCTAAGGTCTTTCATGAGTACACAACTTATATGGGTGTTGTATCCCTAGATGATGTGTAGTTTCAATAAGAGTCTTGTATCATAGTTACATTTATTTTATAAAACATATCATAAATTATGTACTTTGGTTTGGTTTATGTATATATGGTTTCATTTAAGTTTTTTTTTTCATTTATGTTTATATATATTATTATTTCTGATTTTTTTTTATAGTTGATCTCACTAAAGTTAAGGTAGAACCAGTTGAAAATAGGCATGCTTAGATCACATAGCGTGTAATTTTCATGCTGTACATCAATGCTTGATTCATGTCGTTCGGTTATACTGATATAAGTGACCATTGATGGGTTTAGCTACGTTAGTTGTAGCGAAGGCTGCTTTGATTCTGTCTTTATGATTGATGGACAGGATTGTTTGGTGATGTGTTCAGGTATGGATAACATAGTTCTGATTACTCCTACAGTTATTAACGCATAGTTAAGGTGTCATATAAAGACTAAGTGAGAGATTGTTGAATATTTTCTAACGTGCGGGCTTAATATGGATATTGGTATGCGTATCTGGCTATCATTTTAATGGACTCACTTAAAAATAATCAAATATGGTTAAATAATATTGAGTCTTAATGCATCGAATTTAAGTATGGACTTGTAATGTGCATATACATTTTTGTAATATTCTCATTTTATGATGGGAGAAATGAGAATTGTAAAAGGTAGTCGATATAAAAGGCGGTTATGGTCTTCAAATCATAAGGTTGTCATTTTATTTTTCTAAAATTCCGTTACTAGAAAAATTAGTTTTAAGGCACCATGTTGACTCAGAAGATCCTACTGCTAGATGTGAACAAATCTTTTGTGATGAATTTAGGTACACTTCCGCTTATATTTATCTTTAATTCGGTATAAGAATGTATGTTTAATTTTTACAGATCTACGAATTTGAAAAAAAAGTTTATTCTAACAAAACCATCTAATTATAATTATATATAGAAAAATACAGATTGAGAAAATTATCTCCGTGTTTGAGGGTTTTTTTTGTCCTTTGTTTTTTTCTTATAGCAAGTCATTACTTGAATGTTGAAGCTCAAAAAGACAAGCCCAATGGAAAATTAAGAGGGAAAAAACCACCACCAGGAAAATGTGATCAAGGAAATGAATCTAAATGTTGCAAAGAAAGAAAATTTTACACCACTTATAAGTGTTCACCACCGGTCATAGCGAGTACAAAGGCAACTTTAATAATCAATAATTTTGAAGAAGGTCATGATGGTGGCGGTCCATCTGAATGTGATAACAATTATCACTTAGATAAAGAACCTATGGTTGCTCTTTCAACTGGATGGTATAACAAAAGAAGTAGGTGTTTAAAGTATATAAATATCCATGGCAATGGGAGAACTGTTAAGGTTAAAGTGGTTGATGAGTGCAACTCGACAATGGGATGTGATGATGAACATGATTACCAACCTGTTTGTTCTAATAATATCGTCGATGCCTCAAAAGCTGTTTGGAAGGCACTGGGAGTACCTGAGAGTACTAATAAATGGGGTCAAACGGATATATATTGGTCTGATGCTTAATTATTTTGTTCTTTATTAATGTTTGACTATTTGCTCGTATTTTATCATCAGTTTCTGTCTCAAGAAATATAGTACTATAAGTACTTTTCTTTATTGCTATTTTTTTTTTTCATTTTGTTTTTTGTTACTTGTAAGCTTGCGTATGGTTGTTGAAGAACCACCACTTAATAAAGATCTTGGGTATTGTGATTAAGTTACTTTTATTGTTTATCTTGCAATATATAACTTCATTATACATATATATATATATTATAAATAGTTAGCATATGATTAACTTATAGCACTAAAAAAGTTATAATAAGTTAATAATATATTAAAAAATATTTTAAATAAATAAACAAAAAATATTAGGAAGAAAGTAGTTATCTTTTCTTGCTCAATATTACTTTTGGCATAAGAAACATTTATATATATTATTATTATAAATATGTATTTGAAATATACTTATTTGAACAACTTAATTATAATAGTATTTTTTTAATTAGGGGTTGAGA